GAGAGGTGGGTCTCTGAATGCTTGGGGCTGGGGCAGACTCTGGAGGAGACTGTCCTGAGCCCAGGCCAGGTGAGAAGCCGCTGACTGCCAGGCCGCACCATGCTTTCTGCTTCACTGTCCCCAGCAGTGTCCTTGGCTTCACCTCCTTATAGCTCTGAGATGCCTGTGGGACGCTGTCATCACCCCCAGCCCTGCTCCGAGCCTCCCTCACCATCACCCTGACCACTGCTGGTCGCCCACATCCACTCCCGGCCCTGTTGCAGGCTAAAGCCAGTGGGACCTTCCACAGGGCAACTATGATAATCTCAGGCCCTGCCCTCCTCTTACCTTCTTCTGAACCTCCTTGTCCGTGGGTCCAGGTATCCTGTGGCCACAGGGCCTTTGCATAAGCTGTTCCAGCTGCCAGCTGCTCCCCTTCCTCCCAGTGCCTGGCCCACTCACCCATCCTCAGGGAAGCCACATTAGGCCTCTCCTCTCTGGCCCAGGTGCCTTGTCTACGGCCCTCAGCACTCTGTTACCTTACACTAGTAGTGATAGGAGTGACGTCATGGACGGTTCCTCTGTGTCAGGCCCCGTGCTGAGCCCTCACGTAGGTCAACACACTGTCCACTCATGAGGGCTCTCTAAAGAAGGGACTGTTGGATTCCCATTTGCCAAACAAGGAAACTGGGGCTCAGAGAAGCGAGTCACTTCCCCAAGGCCACAGAGCAGGTGAGCAGCAGAGCCCTAGGAAACGCACACCTGCTGCTCCAGAATGGACCCTGGAGGCTGCGCTGGGGGGAGGGGCCCAGGCCTTGCTCCCCCCGCTGCCGGTCAGCTCAGGGCCCTGGAGCCTCCGGGCAGCAGTGCCAGGGGCCCATGCCGACGCTTGTCAGCACCAGCTCTGTGAAGGGTTTAATTAACTTCCTGTTTCAATGGGGTTTTAATGAGTTTTAAGCACCACGTGACTCCATAAGGAGGTCAAACAGCAGCAAAGATGTCAAAATAAATTAAGAGAGGAATCGGAGGCAGCCTGTGGGTGGGGCGGGGGTAGCCGGGCAATACGGTGACAACTAGCGGCTGCCTGGGCCCCCGGTGGGCGGGCTGCTGCCCGGGTAGCCCCCGCGGCGGCTGGGGCTGGCTCTGGCCTTGGAGATGGGGCTCCTGCAACTGGGGACCCTGTCTGATCTCTACCAGCCATCCCTCAGATGTCTGGGGGAAGCAGAGGGAGTGAGAGGACAAGCTGTTCTCCCTGCTCAGCGGTCCTCTCTGAAACCGGCAACTCTAACAAGCCACACCCTCTGAGACCCCGGGACACAGAGGCTCTTGCCTGGAGACTGTCCTCAGCGTGAGCGCTGTGCATGCGGCTGCCCAGGTGTGGTCTGCTTACCAGCCGGACACAGACACAAAGAACGATCTGGACGTTTCCCAGTGATGAGAGTGGGGGTCAGGTGCGTTACATCAGCAGACAGGATGCTATCTGCACTTTCTCGTCCCCTCCCCCTGCTCCCTCGCCTCCCCCTCCTCTCCTTCCCACAAACTTGGTTCGGGCTCCCACCATACCATGAAGGTATGACCGACCGGGAACAGCACACAGGATGCATCACTCAGAGTCCAGTAACGGGACAGTAGGATTAAGGAGTGGGCCGTGGGGTCAAACGTGCTGTAACTAAGCAGGCTGGGTATGGGGCACTCTGGGTGCAGCTGCCATCTCAGCAGTGGGTTAGGGAGGCCGCAGACAGGAGGTACCACCTGAACAAAGACCTGAAGAGGGGAGGGAGGGAGGCAACTGGACGGCGGGGGTCAAGGGTCTGGGCCGAGCCAGTGAGAGCCAGCCCGGGTCAATGGGCCACAGACTTACACTGGGAGGGAGCTCAGAGTGTCAGGGCTGCAAGGGTTTTTGGTGATTGTTGTGCCCATTTAATAGGTGGGAAAACCGAGGCCAGAGGGGATAGTGATGAGCATGTGTCTCTTGCCCTAGCCCAGAGCTCTGCTGTCCCTTGGTGCTCACCGAGCCGGCTGAATGCACCGTGCTCCTGCCTGGGGCCCAGAAATGGTCCTGGGGTCTCTCGGCGGCTGAGATGGAGGTGCGGCTTGTTCAGGCCCTGGAGAGCCCCATCTGCCTTCTCTCGCTGCCTGGGGTTCCAGGGAGGAGGCCTTGGCCTTGAGCTGCAGCCCACAGGGCCGTGCCAGCCAGTTAGTGAGGTAGAAGGGGCTGTGATCCTGGGCACCCAGGCACAGGCGGGCGGAAGGGAGCAACGCCCTGAAGCTTGTCATGGCTGCTCTGGGACTGCCGTCCTACAGGCACAGCAGCAGGACCTGGGGCCGCTGCACCCCCCCCCCCCCCC